ACAATGTTTTTTAATAGAAATATTTTTGGGAGAAGCAGAATATCTTTTGAAATTTTATATGTTAAATTATGAATAAAATACTTATCAATTTCATACTTACCTGCATGATATGGCTTTCATTTTGTATGACTTAATAGTTTTTCAACAGTTTTTTTAATTCTAAAAAGTAACTTACCTTTATATATTTATGTATCGCTCTTTTATGATATTTTGTTTCTTAATTTTTCTTAATTCTTAAAATATTTAACTTATTACATCAAATGCTGTTATTTTTTAAATAAACATTATTTGGCAATGTTTTTTAATTAGAAATATTTTTGGGAGAAGCAGAATATCTTTTGAAATTTTATATGGTAAATTACGAATAAAATACTTATCGATTTTATACTTACCTGCATGGTATGGCTGTCATTTTGTATGACTTAATAGTTTTTCAACAGTTTTCTTAATTCTAACAAATAACTTACCTTTATATATTTATGTGTCGCTGTTTTATGGTATTTTGTTTCTTAATTTTTCTTAATTCTTAAAATATTTAACTTATTACATCAAATGCTGTTATTTTTTAAATAAACATTATTTGGCAATGTTTTTTAATTAGAAATATTTTTGGGAGAAGCAGAATATCTTTTGAAATTTTATATGGTAAATTACGAATAAAATACTTATCGATTTTATACTTACCTGCATGGTATGGCTGTCATTTTGTATGACTTAATAGTTTTTCAACAGTTTTCTTAATTCTAACAAATAACTTACCTTTATATATTTATGTGTCGCTGTTTTATGGTATTTTGTTTCTTAATTTTTCTTAATTCTTAAAATATTTAACTTATTATATCAAATGCTGTTATTTTATTAAATAAACATTATTTGGCAATATTTTTTAATTAGAAATATTTTTGGGAGAAACAGAATATCTTTTGAAATTTTATATGTTAAATTACGAATAAAATACTTATCAATTTCATACTTACCTGCATGGTATGGCTTTCATTTTGTATGACTTAATAGTTTTTCAACAGTTTTTTTAATTCTAAAAAGTAACTTACCTTTATATATTTATGTATCGCTCTTTTATGATATTTTGTTTCTTAATTTTTTTTAATTCTTTAAATATTTAACTTATTATAATAAATGTTGTTATTTTATTAAGTAAACATTATTTGGCAATGTTTTTTAATTAAAAATATTTTTGGGAGAAGCAGAATATCTTATGTGAAAATAAAATTTGAATAAAAATTGAGTCCTTTATTTAAATTATATTTTGATATTATTCATTTTGTCATATAGACACATAAAGGAATTTTGAATTTTGTATCTATATCTTATTTTTTTAAAATATATGATTTTTAATACGTGAGTCGATCTTGCAGTTTTTCCAAATGAACATTAAATTATGTAAATAGAAAAATTATTAGTTTAAGAAATAATTAAATATAATTAATGTGAATATAAAAATATAATTAAATTATATTATAATTCAATCAATATTTCATGGTCTTGCGCTAAAAATAATTACAGATATGGTAAATGTTTAAATAATGAAACCCATTAAGTTAATCGTAAATTGATATTGTTTCAAATATTTTGATACAATAAATTTTGAGAAATATAAATGTAAAATAAAAAGTAAATAATAAGAGAAGGATAAAAATAGCATAAAAATTAGGAATTTAGCATTATCTACGCAATGCCAGAAAAGATAAAAATTATGAATCAACAATCGATGCCATTTTTTAAGTGTTAAAAATACTTTAACTTTTATTTAACTTTATTTTCTATTTTTTATACTTTTTATTATATTCTTTCTTTATTTTCTTTAAAAAAATATCTTTAGTACTTAAGAGATGGCACTAATGTTTAATTCTTACTCTATCTCTATCTTTTTCTCTTTATTTTCTCTCTTTGTTTATATAGTTTCATTTGCGACATTCTATAGATGGCACTGAATTCCCAATTTTTATGTTATCTCTGTCTTTCTTTCATTATTTTTTTTCTTTGTCTATATTTATTCCATAAAATTCATAAAAGAAAATTCGTTCAAGAGAAAACTTCAATTTCTAATTAACTTTACTGTCTTTATTGTTTAAGCTATTAATTAGAGATTTTACTAAAAATTTACTCGATCCAATTTTTATCTATGCATTATTCACAAAATGATCTATTTTAAATGTATTCTGATCTTTGATATCCTGTATAATTAGTACTTTAGAATATAGGACATAAAATTCCATAAGATATATAAGTCTATTCTATATTTTGTTTGTGGTCTTCGGTTTCGATCCTTTTGTAAGGCGGTACGTTCAATATATATGCAACATTTCACTGTACTAAGCTATTCTGTGTTTCTGATTATTCTATGGTACTAGTCAATGATTGGTTTATTTGAAATGCCTCAACCAATCAATTTTCGTAACACTATCAAAACCATACGAAAGACTTTATCTATGATAGTAGTATAAAGTATGGTCTCATGCGATACATACCGAAATCCCCGCACCTGTTTCAGTCGGTGTTGAAGTAAAAAGAGATAAACAATATATTTCCCGAGGCTAGGGTTCTTGCAAACAATGCACTTGCCCAAACTGGTGAATCATCTTTAGAACTGCAGCATCAACGAGAAATTTCTTATCAGACTGTATATCGTGATAGAAGTCTACGAATAAGGCACAGTGCGCTATGCCAACCTGAGATCTTTTTCATAGAGGATTTAATTTGCAGTCGTATCGAGAGAGTAATTGTTATTCGTTCGAGAATTGTCGTGCATTCGAATGTACTCTGAATATCATCACGTCAACGCACTTAAGTGTTAATTCTAATTTTTACTAAAGAATTACATAATGTATGTGCATGAGTCACAGGGTGAATAGGGGGGACGTGCAAACGTCAAAATCGTGCTGCAGCGATTTTCTTGCAGTTTAGGTACGATAAACAAATACTGATACGGTTGATTGATTATTTGATCTAAATTAGATCATACAATATATAATATTGAATTGGTAATCATTACTTGACATGTATATCATCCTTAACCGCTATATTGTTCGATGTCGATCGTACGATGTGCTGCCATTAGAAATTTTGCAGCGAGTACATTCTCATATTAAAGTTCGTAAGAAGTATTAAATATATCATGAAATGAAATAAAGATATTACTGCTGGTTATCGCGCAACATAATCGATTTTATAAAAACGATTACTTTTGATAATATTCTTCAAAATTTGTGCAATTCACGTTTATTGAGTTATGACAGATATAGTATAGCAAGATATCTCAAGGTTAAATGATTTATGGATAAAAGCAATTATAATAATACGGTGTTCACAGTTTTACTTTTTTTTTGTTGTGTTATATTTTTTTCATAAGAAAGTGACGAAAAAAAAATATTCCGTTAACGCAAAACTATTGATATTGATATATTTCATTTGAATATAAAGTCTTATTTAAAATTTTTAAAATATCAAAAGTATATGTATATAATTTATCTTGATATTTGTTAATATTTATGATATTAATTCTATATTATAAATCGCATGCTGTTTCTTCACTAACATTTCAGCTTGGATTTGGGCAAGAACCTATAATAAGGTTGCGATGAATAAGAAGCATTATGCAAGTTTCCAGTGAGCAGGGAGAATATTATTAAGAAATGGCAATAACCAAATTGAAAATACTAAAGTGTAGGTGCATGATTTTATAGCTGTGGAAACTACCATCGTCTTATTTATAACTTACAACCAGGTATTTGTTAATCGAACAAAGTAGCTGTTCGTATATATTTATTACTAAAAAATGCCAGCACCACCTCCACCTCTCTCAAGTTTGCCAGAGGCACCTATGTGTGAAAAAACTGAAGTGAGTGATGCAGATTCTCTGCCTCCTTGGGCTAAAATTACCCTTACATCTGCCGAGGCAGAAATTGAAAAGCTGATAGCTCGAAATGAGTTAAAAGATGCAGAAGTCACATATTTTTGTCAAGTTGAACCCATTTTGCAAGATGGACCACAGTAAGTTTTCTTAATTTATTTGTAAGCATTAGATATTTATGTAACTATAAAATAAATAGTTATAATAATAATAATATAATTGTTTAATAGATGTGGTTTAGTTGCACTTGCTATGGCATCGCAAGAATACACAAAGCCAGTTTCAGTGAGTCAACTTTTAGCTGAAGCTCGTGTAAGAGGCTTCACTCAACATGGAGAAGTGTACAGCGTTGATTTCATGGGTACACTTGCAGCTGAATATTTACCTGATCATAGACCAGATATTTTAGTAGATTTACAGCAATGTCCAGATACATTGACACATGCTTTAGCTCATGGTGCAATGGTATTAATTCCATATGATTCTGATTTCAATCATGCTCCATGTTTAAAAAGAGGTCATAAAGCTCATTGGGCACTACTTGTGGGTCTAATTTCATCAAGGTATATAATATTTTTTTATTATTTTTACAATTTAATTTGAAGTAAGTAATGTATATATATGTATATATGTATTCCAGACAAGGATATCATGTCTTAGCACGTCACGGAAAATCACGTCATTTAGCTTGTTGGCCTTTGCGTGATTTAATTGAAAGCAATGGTAATTTAGAAGAGGAAGGAACAGCTAGACATGCTGGGGGATATGTAATACCAAAAGGAGGAGTCGGAGGTCAGAGAGGTTTACGCGGTAGGGCACTGGCGTTGCATCCATACATATAAGATCATGTACAAGAATTGTAGGTAATTAATATCACAGCGAAAGACAGAAATTACTATTATAATATTACCGTATCCACGTTACAGTATATGGTAAATATTCAAAGGCATAACGTTTGCACAGCTGCTATGAAATTTAATTATTTGTAAAATCGTGATGCTTTTAAGTAACATATGTTTCAACTTGCGATGCATTTTCGGTCAACATTCGACGAGGAATAATAAAATCCTCAAATTCGGCATTAGGTGTAAAATGGGCGATATATCATTCGTTGACACAGTGTAAATAATGATTTATTATGTATGTTTGATTTATATGCACTTGAATGGTATGAAAGATTTTTCTTTCGTTATTTTGACGTATCGAGCTTTTCCTGTGGTACTATATGTGCTGAGCGTAAATTGAGAAAAAAACGAGCATGTACACGTGCATGAAAGAAACAAACGTGAAAAAGAAAAGTCGATAAAGAATATTTGCATAAAATAAATATCTACGTGTATTAGCTAGGATTTATCAGAATCGTAATACTAGCCAGAACAAAAAGATCTAAGTAATATTTATTTAGCGAAAAAACCATAGATTTTCAATTAATAATTATGAATCTTTGTTTTATGTTAACATTGTGAATAAAGACTAAATCTGTAGCAAGATTCTCGCAATTGCATTTGAGGCAATACAACTTAATAATCGTGTATTATATTAAATTGTTGGGCGCATTGCTTTTAAGATATGGAGTAAATTATTATATTAAATATATAATAATTTAAATATAAAAGAAAAAAAGTGACAAGTTTCGCATGTTTCGAAAAAACTAAGAAATTTTTTATTATTCAATATAAAAGAAATAATTTACTTTCAAATTTATTACATATCATTTTTATATTTATATGAAACAGTTTTTCAAGTTTTATTCATAAATACTAATTTACAATTTATAAATTGCCTATAATAGCGATAATTAATTATATATATATTAATTAATTATCACACTATCTTTGAAATTATATATTAAAATTCAAATTGAAATTGTATTACTTTTGTGATACATTAAATTTTAAATTTGGCAGCTATTTTTTTTATCAATTATATACATATATATGCAAATTTATATTTACTCTTAAAATTAACATTTTATATTAATTTTACAAATATATTATTCAATTATTCCGGAATTCTTGGAAGCAACGCGCTTTAAAGAAATGATTCTTACTATGTAGAATTCTATGATATGTTTGTTTTACTATGTATTTATCGGTATGTAAAGTACGAATGTAATCTATATTAATATCGATACGTAACGATCTAAAAAAAAAAACTATGAAAACCTAGAGATACCTTATGACTGACTGATTCTCTTCAGTTGTGTGGTATCTTAAGTGTTTTTTATCAAATTCGTCGGATAAAAGAGCGTAAAATAAGTTTGAAAGAGATGTTATATTATTTGTAGACTTCCTTGAGTGGTTTCGAATCGAATACAAACAACAAAAGCAAAAAAGGTTTAAAATGAAATAAAAATAATAAAATAACTGTACCCAAGTGCCGCAAAATAATGAGGTTCATTCATTAAACACGAGAATAATTGTATACCGTGCCTATTCTCACGTCATGATGCTTCTTCGATTTGTTAACCGGTCGCAATCAAAAATACTCTTGCAAAGAAACGAATGCTATTTATTGGTGCACGCACGTAAGTGATTTTTTTCGTTTCTGTAATGTTTCTAATGATAATCAAAAAGGAAAAAAAAAAAAAAATAACGTATTTTTCTTGCTCTAACTTTATGAAGTCGTACGAATCTCATAATAGAAAATAGGAGAAGTTTCAAGCGTATAAAAATATAAATACGTCTTCCGTTACTTACCACGATACAGTGTTTTCATGAAATCGGAGGAAAATCAAATTGAACTTTTATTTTAAAGCATTTAACAAAACTTATTATTATACTTGTATATTTCTAATCAATAGAAAAGTTAATTTTGATTAATGGAAGCTTTTTAGTTTTTTCGGAAATTTTTTAGTTGTACCGATGTGTATCATCATCGATATATTGAATCATCTCGATGTATCAAATCTGTGTGATTTGACAAATGCAAAAAACCAACACAGCCAAGAGAAAAGAGCGGTACGTGTATCGTGTTACGTTATAAGAGATTAATAATTGTGATCATTGTTAACACACTTGTTTCTTTTTTCTGTAACTCGCGTATTTTACTTGATTTGTTGTCGGTATTTAGCTTTAAACGTGATACAAATATAAAGAGATGTTATCATTTAAAGATATGTTTTCATTAAGATTATAATTTCTATATTCCGTATTATATTATATACTATGCTTTCTTTCTCTATCTCTCTATCTCTCTTTCTTCCGATGCGATTCTTAAAAAATGATATCGAAATGTTGACTGTATCGGGTATGGTTGGTGCTAAGAATTCTCTGAATTAGCGAAAGGAATGTGTGCCAATCTATATCTTTCAATCACGAAATTCTACGCGATGAAAGTTTCACTTCTTCCCTGTTACGAATTTAAAAATTCTTAGTGATAT